CATGCATCAGTGACAGTAAATATCACATTCCATCTATGGCATCAGTTATTTGAATTTCATGTGGCTGGTTTCTAACCTGAAGAATATACTTTGCAGTACAGTCAATGGTCCCTGGTAGACCATTGAATTATCATGGTTCTGTTAGTTACCTTTTAGCTATTGCTGTGATGCTAATACATATTCATATCAAATAACCGAGTGATTCAGCTGACAGGTAAAATAAGTTCCAATACACTGGACAATACATTGTAATGCACTCTGGATAGGTTTAACACAGACTTGTCCTTCAGTGTACATAGTATATTAGTTTGGATTATGAATAAGAAAACATGTATACAACTATGAAATTTTTATTGATGAACTTCTACATCAAGATTTTAGCTGTATAATATTATGATGTGCTTGTGTTTTTATGTGTTTCTATAAATAATATTGCAGCTCAGTCTACTGAGAATTTAGTATTAGCTGTTTTGTATAATTGCAAGGACATGATTGCAGTTGTCTGGTTTTATTATTATATTAATGTTGATTTTTTCTTTTTCATTCTCACTTTTCAAATTTCTCAGAAGACAGTCTACTGCAAAATTTGTTCTGGAAAGTTTAGTCCTTTCCTATGCTAATGCATACCTAAAACTGTCTTACATGTTTGATGAATAGATACTACACACACACACACACACATACATGTATTTCCCTACTCATGTGTAAATTGGAAAGAGAAAAAAGAATTTTGCTCAAGGTTTTTTTTTTTTTAAAAAAAAAAGAAGATATTGCTGTTTGTGCTGCAGCCAGTTATGACAGACTTTCAACTAAATAGGAAAGTTTTGAGCAGTCAGAGGCTGTGATTTAACAACAGCTGTTTGTGATCAGTGCCAGTAGAAATCACTGGTTTTCACACAGGCGAAAAGAACAGGCTGGGAAAAGGGATTTCAGGAATAGGTACAGTCTTTCACACAGAGTTTAAATAAATCAAGTCTATGTATTGTAAGATGGTGCCATTTACAGTGTAACGTATTTGTAATTTCTAGTGAGATTTTTCCAGAAATCAGATTTAGAATAAAATTAGTGTTGATAGGGTTTTTTTATAAAAGAATTGAGGAAATCAGAGCCCTAACTATACTTCAGACACTTTAGAAAATACATAGAAATTTTCACTACTTCAAATGCTTCAAATGCAAAACCTGACTGTCTTCATCAGCTAACACCAAACTGAATGGATAGTGTTGGAAATAAGATAAGAAATGCCATTCTTGGTCAGATCCAGTATCCCTCTGTCCCACTACTCTGCCTTGGAGAGTAGCAGGTGCTGTTTAGGCAGAGCCCAGAACCCTGGCTCCTTCCTCTGGTCTCATCCCCTTGGGCTCCCCAGCATCCAGAATTGTTGCATTAGAAAGAGTACTTCCCCACCTAATTCTTTTAGTATCCATTGAGTATCTGTCGTACTCTGTCATGAAACAAGTTGTTCACAACGATTTTTTTTACAAACTAGAATATAGTCACTGGCAGCCTCAGTGGTGCTGAAAGTGCCAAAGCCTATCTTGGCATGCCTTCAACTGGGTACCTGCTGCCTTCCACGGAGACTCTAAACAATATACTATTATGTGCACGCAGTAGCAGCTACACATCCTCTGTATTTCAGATACACCAGTCACACCTGAGATGTCAGATGAATGATTCCTGTTGCTCTCCATTATTAGAGAAACTCAGTGTGGCTGCCAGATGTATTTGTCTATGTGGTGGATGACTAAACTTAGGTGCGATCAATTCCCACTCGCTCTGCCTAGATGTAAACTCCTACGCTGAGAAAAGTTGGTCTGAATGCTGGATGTATTGGCCTTTTCACCTGGACGTGTTTTGGCAACACCATCTTTCTGATCTTTATGAAACTGGTGATGATGATGCCTGCATGAATGTGTTCTGTTTGTTTCACCTTATTGGCACTTTTAACAAATATTAAAGTCGCTTAAAGCCTTTTTGAAAAAGTAAAATAAAGTTTTTCTGTGTTGAATCCCTGAAGGTGAACATTGCCAAATAGTTCAAAAGCATTTTTCTTCCTGTTGTTACTAGCATTTATGGCCTGTGCAATAAAGATTTATAATTACTGTAGAGATTCGAGGGAGGCAGAGAAAAACCCTCTCCTTTTTATGCCTTTGTAAAGTTGTTTTCTAAGTTGTGTAAAAAGAACCTGTTTTATTTAAAAGCTTCTCTTTTTTTCATTCACATTCTTTAAAAGCCTTTCTGCAATGCAATTTTTAAAATGAATGTGTTTCTATTCAAATAAAAGTTTACTCTTAATGGCTTTTATGCTTCATATGATAAAGCACCTTCATTTACTTAGTTATACATAGGCAGTCAGCAGTGTTATGAACTGTTTCTTTATTACTAAGCAGTATGCAGATCTCTGGCATCTTCCTCAAAGGACAGGGTGGGTTTTTTTAAACTCTTTATTTGACATGATCATAAAGCATGGGTACTAGCCCAGTGTTTTATGACATTCTCAAGTATGATTAATAATTTTAACTATGCTGGTTCCCCTGTAAGATCAATATTATAGAATTTTTTCAGTCACTGTTTGAATGGATTTTAATTGAAATTGATTCCCTATAAAATAATAAATTGAAGTGTATTAACAATGATCTTGTGGTCCTTGATGTTAAGGAGCTCTGAATTCTAACAAAATTCTGAACGGTTTTCAAAAAGTACCCAATTTTCCTCTATGCAGCCTAAGTATTCATAAAGCACCTGTACTTAAGTGCTAATTCCAGCAATTAATACAGCAGCCTTAATTTGCAATATGAATGTGAACGGAAATGTGGAAGGGTATTGTTTTTTCAAAAATGTATTTTTCTGTTTGTAGTTCAGCTACAGCTGTATTGTGTGATCCTAAAATTTAAATGTATACTGCTATGCATAGTGTTACCTTCTTTTATCAGTAAAAATACCTCCCAGTCACCTGACTCATTACAAGCTGCCTGTACAAAGAAAGGATACATTGAGAAAATCTTTAGTGACAAGTTCTGTAAGAGTTTCAGTGTTTTTCCAAAGGTATCAGCTGTAAGGGCTTTGAGTCATTTGACTGTTTTTCTGAATGACGCATTGAGTTTTAGGCAGTATGCACATGGCAATACCACACAGTTCTGATGCTCTTCAACCACACTGAGGTTACGTCCACATCCTAGAGCTTATTCTCAGTTAAGCTTATCCACATCATTGCAAAAGTAGTTGTTTTACATACATTTGGCTTGTACAATGACTTCCACCTGAAGACAACCTGATTAGAAAATAGCCAGACTCAGGACTGCATGCATCATTTTATATCCAGGCAGCCTGATATAAATTGTCAGAACTGTGACTTGGCATACTCATTCAACTATACAAGAAAGCTGGAGATCTCATCCTTAGGAACTGTAGGGATAAGCAAGTTAGAGACTTTTTTATGTGAACAAAAAGGCATGTCAAGGTTCCCCTTCAAGCTTGAGTGCAATCTGAAGGCATACACATTGATGTGGTCTTAGAGTTTTGAGTCCTCTTCATTAGAAACGGGATTCAGATCTTCCCATTCACTGCATCTGGGATACCCATCAGGTGACATTTGATGATTTGTGATGGAGTTGAAGCAACCCCAACACCTGAGCCTTGAAACAATTAATTTTGTCAAATTCTTTCATTCCTTACTGAGACCAGTTGGGAGGCTTACTGTTGGTAGTGTCAGCTGGCAGACTCTGAAGTCCAGTTCTGGGGGTTTTGTGTTGAGAGAGTACCGTTGTGTAGAATTTTCAAGAGCTGGGTTTTGAGAGAAAGGCCTGAAAGAAAAAAAGGTCTTGCGCAGCAAGAAGAGGAGGTTCTTTCTGATTATGCCTTTGTTCAGGGAGCAGCAATGCAAAGCTTCTGTTATTAAAAATTATTCTGCAAAGTCTTTTAAGCTGTCTGTTTTTTTCTTCTCTTTCCTCTTTGGCGTATATCAGAGGTGGAGATGGAGAAGTAATGGTAATCACATTTCCTTCTTTCTTTAAAGTGTTATGTCATTCCAGTCTTCTTGAGAAATAAATAGGAAAGTCATCTTTCTTACTCTATTCCTTTTTGTCTTTCATTCCTTTAAGAACTTCTGAGTAACTGAGGATTGTTGATAAAGTTGAGCCAAGAGATTAGTATCATAGAATCACAGAACACCAGATTGGAAGGGACCTCAAGTATCATCTGGTCCAACCTTTCTTGGCAAAAGCACAGTCTAGACAAGGTGACCTGTCACCCTGTCCAGCTGAATCTTAAAAGTCTCCAACATTGGGGAATCCACCACTTCCCTGGGGAGATTATTCCAATAGCTGATTATTCTCATTGCGAAAACTCTTCCTCTTGTGTCCAATCAGAATCTCCCCAGGAGTAACTTGTACCTGTTACCCCTCATCTTTTCCATGTGACTCCTTATAAATTACCTCCTGCTCTAGTTTTCTTTTGTTGATTTTCCTTTACCCTGGGTGTTTAAAGGGCTTATTAGACTACAGTTGTCTGGTGAGGAGTTTCTTTAGCTTGTTCCAGAGAGTGTAGCTGTATGAAATGCTTTTCAGCCACTCCTTGTGATTTTCTGTCATAAGGTGCCAAAATGATCCAGCTGTATTTAAAAAGTCTTGGATGCCAGAAGGAGCAATCAGCATTGTCTTAGACAATGGACCAGCTTTTAAAAGTGTCAGGCAATTAAGGATGTAGATAGACCTTTGAAAATTCTCTATGCTGATCACTCCCATGGTGTCACAGCAGTTACAATTCTCGGTCTAAACTTTAAAAACTTTGAAGTAAACAAACTATATTTTAGAGAAAAGGGGCAGAAAAGAGGAAGGGAGGGATAGTCCTACCTCTAAAGCTCCACTGACAAATCAGTTGTCACTGGGTAGTTTCTGAATGCATTCTTCTCTAGACTCAAACTTGCCCAGCAGTGCAGCTGCCATCCATTTTGTTAGAGCTGTTGACTGTGAACTAACCACTGATGTTGTTGACTTTTGTAGATCTCTACTTAAACCTGGAGCATGGTTTTTTGAGGGTCATAGAAAAGCAGCCAGCCCTTACAGCCCATCAAGGTAACGAATGTCTTTTTGCTGGGATGTATCTTCATAAAATGAGACATCTATGAGCTTTTTTTGTCTTTTTTAAAAAATGTTTCCTTTAGGTGTAGAGCTTTTTTCAGTTATCACTGTGAAAATAGTGTTTCATTTTCTTCTAATCCTAATAAGCTCTTCCCGAGTGAATTACTATAATTTACTGATATTTGCTTGCTAGAATTGTTTGTTGATGAATTTTCTTTCTCCCTTCTTAAATATCAGCTGTTGTGTGACTGTTGCTTTGTCAGCAATTCATGTTTTCCTTTATTATACTGTTACTGCTATTATTGAGAGCTCTTTGGTTCCCCCTAGTAATGGGGATGTCACTGTGGGAATTTTACTGTACTTCTACATAGCTTAGCTGATTGTATGGTCATTCTTGCATGAGAATATATGTTTTACTGATTTCTTCAGTGTTTTCTCATGATCCACATTATGAGAACCCATGCTATTTAGGTGAGCAATGTAAACAGATGCTGGGACCAGAAGATAGGAATCTTTTTATCAGGGATGTCTCTAGGAATCAGGAGCACCTAAAGCTAGTGTCTTCTTTAAGTTTCTGCTGCTTATAATTGATTTAGCTAGAGTCTTTGGGAAAGTCTTTAGCTGACTTAAAACTTGATCCATACTCTTCATGCACACATTCTGCATCAATTTTAGTACTGTGAGCAAATAGCAAGAGTGGCTACTCCACTAAGAATGTCAGTTTATGTCTACCACCAGCTACGGGTTGGTTTTATTCCAATTATCTCCCTTTGAAAATCTGAGACCTCAACTTTGCTCCTGGTTCTGTGAGGGCAAATGAAGGAGTCATGCTCCATTGATTTCAGCGAAATGTGAAACTAGTTAAAATGAGAACGGGATCAACCCCATTTTTCCTCTACAGCATGAGACTATAAAGACCATTCAAATCAATGAAGGGTACCAATGACTTTTCTGACCTTTGAATCAAATCCATAAACCTTTTTAGTAGCTTAATTAAAACCACAAATACAGAAACATAAGTGTTCTGTTCTCTAACCCAACATAGGTCTATCTAAAATTGAAAAATATGATCTCTTGCTGATTTTATTGCATCAAAAATACAACTTTGATATTTTTTTTCTCTTTAAAACTAGGGTTACATAAAGCCTAGTTTTCACTTGGTCTCAAAATCTCTTTTGATGATGTACTGCCTATGTTATTTGTAATCCTAATTTCATAATCACTGTTGAAAATGAAAGCCACAAAACTTGCTTTTATCTTACTCTTTTTATTCGTTTTCTTTACTAAAATGTCATAATCAAAGATAAAAACAAGTATACTGTCTTTTAGCTTGAGTAGTTTGAAGTGTCTTTGTTGCTTCTTACATTAGCCAACAAAAAGTTGGCTGTCTGGTTGAACTCATTGTTCACGTTCCTCAAATAATCAATGAAGAACAACGGCCACCTCCAGAGAGGTGCCCTTCTAAAACAGATGCCCATGATAGGTGCAATGCATTGCCCCTCTAGATGTTCCTGCCTCTATTAGAGGACTCGCCATCTAATTTGGGATGGCTAAAATTAAATAGAGGAAAAATATGCAGTAGCTCTTCCCATTTTTTGCTTCTCAGCATGAAGCATATAACAAGTGACATTACCCACTTTTAATTTGACACCAACATTCTACTGCCTTAGTATATTAATTTTGTCTTTATCTGTACCTGTTGGCAAATTCTGCTTATGTTGTGCCCTTAAATTGCCTTTTTTTTTTTGTACAATAGTTAACATCATCTTTCATATTCTGTTACTTTCTATGAACATTTTTGTAACTGAGCTAACTACTGCTCATGGTAGTAGAATTAAAACATCAACCAAAAAGGTTAAAATTAATGAGTTACAAGTTCTGGGTTAAGGGATTTTGGCATTGTGTTCTTACTTGTTCTTACATTTAAATGGTCCTTAAGTCTGAAGCAGACAGGGACTTATTTTATATAATTTCTTGGGATAGGTTTATAATTTACCTGTGGTTCGGCAATTTTTCTCAGACATGAGTTCTTTAATAACTACAGTTAGACAGATCCTAGTCCTCTGAGTTCTTCCTTTCATCTAGATGTTGTTGAGCCTGATAGAAATATTAAACTATTATTATTATTTGATTGTGGCTTTTGTTGCCTCTGTGGAGCTGGATCCAGTCTTACACAGGAAGGCCGGGACCAGGCTGAGAGCCCCAGATGAAATGTTCATTGGGAACTGAACTTTTGCTTTATAATTCAGAAAACTTGCTGAAAATTTTTTCCCTTTCATATAATTAATTAGTACAGGCAATGAAGGTGTAAGTCTATTGAAAACCGTGAACTTCATAGTTTCAATTAAATAGGAAAGCTGGTAAAACCTATCATAAAATGACTTGAAATAATAACACAGAAGAGCAACTAAAAAACCAAGCTTCTTTATATGTCTTTTGTTTGGGCTTTCTGTGTCTCCTTTAAAGCTCTCTTGCATTCTCATGAGCTCGTTCGTTTTATTGAATGCTAAAGCCTTTTACCATCTGCCAAAAGGTTTTATTTTGGGGTTTCCTCTTATGTGGGAGGGTGATTTCCTCCTTCCCTTCGTGCTAGTTTCATTGCTATCTTTAGGACCAGAGCCTACTGGAGACCTTCCTGTCTCCCTTTTATTACACAGCCTCCTCCTTCCTTGCTGCAAAGTTCCCGCTCCCGAGGGCAAAGAAGAAAACAAGAACTGAAGCTGCCTTTTTAGGCTGCCTGGCTGATGCAGATGGCTTTTGTTTTAAACACAGGAGTCCAGTTCCTGGAGTGCAGGGCTGTGCACACACAGCAGCAACATTCCTCGGGGTGGGTGTTTTTAGGAATGGTTCCTGCATGAAGGCGTGTAAGTGCCCCGTGCTTTGGCTACAGACTGTGATGGGCTTCTGAAAAAGGGTGCTGCAATCTGTATCATTTACTCGAAAAGCAATTTATTCTTCTCTATTTGTTAGTCTTTTACATCAGCACGTTAATCCAACCTGTTCTGCCACTATTAAGACATCTATAGCCATAGCCATTTAGTTTCTTCCTGCTATGGGAACTTTTAGGTGTTTAATTTTTCTATGAATGTATTGATTTCCTATCTTTACCTTTCTTGTGCTGTAGAGAAAAAGAGGTGAAATTGGAGGTGTTATATTTGCAGAGGGATAGAATTGCATCTTTTTTTTTTTTTTTTTCTTTCTGAGAGTAAATTAAAGTAGATGCCAGTCTGGGTTTTTCAGCTTAGCTCTCAAGGATGCAGGGAGTACAGCTGCAGTAGGATGTGACTATCCAGGTGCTGAGCCATGAACATGGCAGGAGGAGGCTGCGAGTCCTGATCAGACACCTCCATTTAAATCTTTGCTGTGGAACTCTTCAGGTATCTGCTATCATCTCTCTTGAAGTAGATGCTGTGTGGGGGAAACAAAGGGTCTTGCCTTTTCCCTTCAGCCACTGCCTGCTGGGAGTGAGAGCAGTCTCTGAGGAGCATGCAGTCCTGTTACTGCCTGTCCTAATTTGCTGTACAGCTGAGCCTGTGACTGGAGGCAGTCTGAATGTGGAGGGTGCAGGCACAGGGAGTTGCGCTGGGTGTCAGGTCACCTCCTGAGAGTTCTGCCAGGATCCATATCAACCACATTATGCCTCCGCTGAGCGTATTTCTGGCTTTCCTTTTTTGATTTTTTTTTTTTTTTTAATCACTGGCATTACACCAACCAGCATGTTAGATAACAATAGGAATCTAATATTATTTTATTTGTGATTAGCTCATCTCTTGGACTCTGAGATGTTCTAATCTTTATCCTTCCATCATCAACCAGCACTTTTCGAAGCTCTATCCTTTGGTTTATTTACTCTCCCTCTGTAATTGAGAACTTTATTGTCTATCGCTATGAAAGATTGTCAGTGCTTAAAAATAAATGATCCATCTTCCATCCCTTCAGTGCATCTAGATTTTATGACTATAGGAATCTAATGAAAGGTTGAAATGGGAATGAGGAGGATGAGGGTGTCCCAGGGTGTTACCTAAATGTCTGATCTACAGATGAAAAGGGATGCTGGGATTTTGTTCAGCAAAGTGCCAGTAAAACTGCTTGTTTCTTAGCACTGGCTATTTTAATGACATTCAGTTCCAAACTCCAGGTACAGTATTGCACAGAGAGGTCAGTGGTGCCCATTTCTAACAACAGAATGGTGCAACATAACACAGCAGCCTGAGATGGCATTCTGAAAAATAAGGGCTATGTGAAAAAATTTCAAGCAGGAGACACACGTTATCTCCTCATTTAGAAAGCAATGCATTGTACTTCTGAATAAACACAGTTTTCCATGTTCTCTCTGTCACACAGATGCACACACATGCACACACTCTAATTGGATAAAAACGTAAACAGTAAATTAAGGATATGATTAAAAATTAAACAGCCACTGCAGAAACCATCAATAGTAAGTGCTTATTAGCTTACATATAACAGCATGCTGGTGTGCTAGCTTCAAATTGGCTGCTGAAACTGATTTGCAGCAAATAAGGCCAGCTTTCCGAAAGGATATTTCTGGGTTTCAGTAATCAGACCCTCAGCTCTGATTGCTTGTTTTGTTCCTTCACAATTTTTGCCAGCCTTTTTAAGTAACTGATAATATGCATTACTTTCTTGAACTATAGTGGGCGATATGTTTAATTCTTCACCTCTGGTGCTTAGCAGAATAAGACAGTATGGGACTGGTCCAGCTTTGTCCCATCTCATGCCTTGTGAGACTTTTACGATTTGCCCCTCAACTCCATCCCCTTTTTCTGCAGGCTTCATCAGAGCCCCTGTCCATCCTGTGACCCACATTGCAGATTGTTTATTTACATCTGTTCTGCATGATAAGATGAAGGGAAAGTTGATTTATACATATTCACCTGCCCATCCGAGGTCTGCATCCACACATGCATGCCTGTGATCTGCAGACCAGCTCCTTCTGGCACTGCATGGCAGAGACTGCAGTTTCTGGAAAG